GGGTTCCCGGACGCCTGGGGCCGCCCTGCCCCTCCAGAGGCCCCACCTCTCGTGCAGGAACGATGGGGCCTGGGTGCCAGTGGTTAGCGTGAGATTGACCCAGGCACAGTCTGGCCAGGACCGGGCACGCTGGGCTCAGAGGCCACCGACAGCTACAAAGAAATGCATCCCAGCCGGGCAGGAGACCGACCAAGTGAGTGCTGGAGGGGACTGGAGGTTACGCCGGAAGGACTCAGGCCACGTGGAGGCGCAGCTGCACCCACCGGGACGGTCCTGGGCTTGCCCCGGGGCCTCGCTCGGCACGTAGGCACAGGTGCCAGCTGAGACTGGTGTAAACCACAGCGTGGGGACCCTGCTAGGTCCTGGGTGCCCTCTCTCTCCATCATGGAAGAGATGGATACATTTAAAACAAAACCAAAACTCAGATCAAAGGACCTCAGTGACCCAAGTACCACTATCTGAAAGCCATCTGCTGTATTTCAATCCACAAATGCGTAATAATTCAAAGGAAAAGCTAAATAACTTCGAGAAGTGGTGGATTCCAGAGCCGAGCAGGTGAAAGAGAAGATGAACGAGCCCCGAGCCTCGCTGCTGAGACCCCGTGGGAGCCCCACTCAGGAAAACACCACGGGCTGCACCGTTCCAGAGGCAGAGGCGAGCTTTATAATCATGAAGTGATAAGAAATGAGATCGCGTCGGTGGTCACAAGGTGTATGGAGGCAAAGACCGATCAGTGTACAGAGAACATGCAGAGGGGACACCAGATCTGCAGAGCGGGCTCAGCAGAGGCCCCGCCCTCCACACGGCACCTCTGGGAGTGAGGGGCAGGGAGGGGGTCTGCGAACCGTGTCGCCAGCCAGCCCACGGTGAGAGCAGACTGCCTTCTCCAGCCCCGGGCCCAGCCCCGTCCCTGCTGTGCCGCTGGGCGCCTCAGAGTTACTGGTCTAAGTCCCAGCACACAGATGGGCTCAGACGGGCATGGAATTCCGTGGCAGGCGGCACTAGGGACTCAGAGGGGCCCAGGGAAGCACCACCTCAATGCTAGGACACAGCGGCCCACCAGGGTTGCAGGCTGCCCGCGGAGTGTAAGGGGTCCCCACAGCCTGTGTGCCCCTCGGGGAGCCTGCTGCACACTTCCCTGGCACAGCCCTGGGGCACCCCAGCAGGAAGGGCCTGGTGGCCCCACCAGCTCACACAGCTGAGCCTCTCCGCAGACGCCAAAGGGGCTGGACAGGCTGGGCAGGCACGGGTGCCACTTCCATGCTCCCCTGGGTCGTCCAGCTGTCCCCTCCCCTAGACCTAGACTCCGCATCCAGGCCTCACCCCATCTGGCCTCTCAGCACCAAGACCCACCCTCCCTCCCTGCCGCAGCGGCCCTCCCTCTCCCCGACCGGGCACAACTCGCCAGGCCTCATCAGACTCTCCCAGCCTCACGAGCACCTTCTGACCTGTGTCCTATGTCTCTCTAGCCCAGGGCCTGCCGTGGTCACAGCCCACAGTGCAGCTGATCCCCGTAGAGAGTGCTCGTGGGACCCCTTCCTCTTTGCATCCCAGGGCCTGGCGTGACCAACGCCAACTCCCTGGGGCTGGAGAGATTTGACCTGCCTTCCCAGGAAGAGCG